CCATTATGTTGTACACTTTAAAACAATGTCATATGTCAATTATATTGCAATAATTGATATAATTGCGGCTGGGGACAAACAAGGATGATAAAAGTAGGATCCGAGAGGTATTTTCGACAGAACAGGAAGTCTGTGGGCCAGCTGTGGCTCTCCCATGCTGAGGCCCCTCAGCTCAGGTCCCAGAGTAAACAGCTTCCATCAGAGGAGTGAGGACCAAGTGCAAGTCTCTGGGGTCTTTGTTCTCTATGGAGACAGGTTACAACCACGTCCCAACACTGTCCTGTGACCAGCGCTCTAGGTGCGCTGGGGGGTGGGGCGGGCTGGTGGCTCCCCTGTGTCTCCCAAGCCAGCGTAACCCCTGCTTCCTCACCCTGCTCCTAACTCGCACGACACCCTGATTCTGCCACAGCAGAGGTGACCAGACAAAGTCCCAAGGAAGAAACCAGAGAGGAGCTGCTCAGGTGTCCCTGCCGTAGAACACTGGGGAGACGTGATGGTGCTTGAAGCTCTGTTTTGTTTTTCTGTTTTCTTCTTCATGACCCGTTTCTCATGAGCATCATGATGATCAGTGGGCAACTGGGGGCAGGGATTTCCCCCTCTGGATCTGGATGTGAGTTCTGCCCGCATTTCTGTGTCCAGGTTCAGACTGTGCCTTCATGAAGACCTAATGTGCTTCCCTTACAGGTGACACCCAGTCACCACAGGGCAGGCTGGGTGAGGGAGCGAGGGTGGTGGAGCCGATGGAGCTCCACCAGAGAGAGGAAGACTTCAGTGACCCTTGGGTCTGCACCCCAAGGCACAATCCGGGCAATGGAATATGGCCCTGGGTCCTCCACAGAGGCTGGTAGGTACATAGCTACCAGCTCTCCCCGACCGCTCTCCCCTGTAGCATTTTTTAAACTCTTTGTGAAGTTAAATCTTACAATATGATGCACACAAGATAACATGTAAACAGGTAATGACTCGGGTTCCCTGTCATCCTATCTCTGCATAGGTAGCCAGTTTGAGGCCAGACCAATGACAGTTCCTTTCCCTTCTCATCCTCGTGTAGTACTCGGCACACAGTAGGCAGTTAGTTCATTTGTGTAGTGTTGTTGGGTTGTGGGGCAGTGTTTCATAGAAGTCAAACTATTATATAAGGACTAAGCTACCAGCCATCACCAAGGTCTTAGCTGGGACCCTTTCAGCATGCCTGCTTATTATTAGCACACAGGGACCTAGCAAGACCAGTCCCTCTGGGCCTTGAGCCGCCAGCCTCCCTGGAGCCATCCAGCTGCAGGAGGGCCCAGAAGAAAGCAGAGGCACTACCTTGAGTGAACGTCCATCTTCCATAGACCAGCGGGATGACAGTGTGGCAACCTGGGGCTGAAATGCAGGGAGGAGCCTGGCCTGGCTGCGGGTGGGGCCCATGTCTCTCCTGGGGCCTAAGCCCGCCTAGCATGGGGACGGCCGTGGGGACAGCCGTTGGCTGTGCTGCATTGACCGTTTCTGCTCAGGTGCCGGTGGCTTTCCTCCCTTCCCATCGTGTGTCCCCTGCGTGGGCAGCAGTGACCCTGCAAACCAGGCACGTGAGCATGGGACCATTTTTCAGCCAGCTGAGCTCCCCCGACTGGATGCCTGGCTCAGAATCTGTGTCCTCAGCTGCTATCTACTCTTCTGCATTCTACTCAGGGACACAGGCTCCTCAGCAACCCCCTGCCTCAGGCTGCCCTGGACACCCTCCCACCTGCCATCCCCTCAGCCGTGGTTTCAACAGGTGCCTTGCTCAACTTCCCTCCTCCCACCCTGACTCATCCCATCCAGTCAGGGACTCAGAAACTTCAGTGAGCATCAAAGTCGCCCAGAAACCCCAGGCTCAGCCCCAAGCCTGACAGTGGGTCTGGGTGGACCCATATCTGAGAAATAAGTTGGGGAAAAGGCTCTTTTGCAGATTCCACGTGGCCCCAAGGGTGGACCTTGGCCATGGATATGGGGTCACCTGCCCCTTGGGTGAGCCTCCTTGGTGTGGGTGAAAGCAGACTTGGCCTGGAGAGATTTGACTCTAGGTGTTTATAAGGTGACAACAGAGCCGGGCTTGGCTGAGGTTCAGGCTGTGTTCAGCACAGAAGGAACGGCTTGGCTGACTGTGCAGCTAGAAAGGGTCGCGGGTCCCTGGGCTTCTTGCCTCCAGAGCTGAGAGCTTTTGTGGGGAGATGGCCGTGCAGTTTCTGCTGCCTCCACATTAATTCTAAGACTTGACCAGGAATTACTTCTGAGATTAACCCTCTGGGCCACTTGGAGAAACCCCTCCCGTCATCATGTTCCTCCTGCTCCCTTTGGCAGTATTTCTATGTGGAAGAGAGGCCGTCCCTGGTGACCTGACCCATGCGTGTGCTCGGTCCACTGTCTGCAACCGCTGCAATTCCGTCAATTACTGCAGAGAGAAAACACAGCTAATTTGGGCTGTGCCCACTCAGAGAGGCTCAGAGCTCTCCTCTGTGGCTTTTGTTTATTCCAGAGCCTCAAAGTGAGAGCAGTTAGGAGCTGAGTGTGAAGCTGTTGAGGACTCCATGCCTCTGAGTCTGCTGGCACGTCTGAGCCCTGGACAGAAAGAGCAGTTTTCAGCACGTGGCCATCCGAGCTGCCTCTCATTTATTGAGCTACTGCTATGTGCCAGGCCCTGGGAGAGTCATCTTGAAACCCAGGTTCTCGTGGGAAGAGACACAGATGGAGAGAAGGTGAAGTCTAGAGGCAGTGTGTCCTTCATGGAGGACATGGAGCTGGAAGTGGGAGGAAGGTAGGGGAGGAGCTGTAACTCTCCTGCTCAGAGGGACCTGCAGAGAAGCCACCTTGCGGGCAGGAGCAAGGGTGAGGGGCCAGCCCCCAGTGCCTGTGGCTGAGAGACTGTGGGGTCAGGGTGACCCAGCAGGCCCAGTGGGGAGGTGTGGGGAGAGGGCAGGGGCCATGGGAGGCCGGCCTGCTCACTCTCAGGACTCCAGAGTTTGCTCCACACATCAGAAGTAGGTAACTCCAGACCCCCTCCCTGCTCCAGGAACATCCCTTGTCCCTCTGTCCACTGATTCCTATGCCCAACCATGTCATTCATTTCTAACTTTGCCTTTACCTGGAGTTGATAGCATAAAGTGAATGTAAGAGAAACTTTCAGAGGAAAAATTTTCAGCTGTGCTGGGTGTCAGCCCTCCCAGAACAGCCCTGCCATCTGTCACCATCTCCCAGCCGACCCTCCGCCCGCTGTCACCTCCCCATGGTCCATTGTCACACACAGACTGGACCATCTCTACAAAGGTGACTCAGGCCTCACTCCTGCCTATGGCCCTGATTGGGGGCGGGGAGGGGGGGAGGGGCGGGAGAGGGTGGGAGGGGACGTTACTCTCAGAATAAATCCAGGCTCCTCTCTGCAGCCCACAGGTCTGAGGGATCTGCTGGCCTCACCCCCTCCTCACCGCACCCCCCACCCCCGCCCCCACCACATGGCCTTCCTCTATCCCCTAGACAGGCCAGACTCCTCTGCCATTGTCACACAACAAAGACTCGGTGAACAGGATGAGACCAAACCATTTTCCTGCATCTGGAGGGTGCTCCTCTGGGGTCCCCTCACCCGTGGCAGGAGTAGGAGGAAATGCAGAGGTTCACCACTGGGAAGCAGTGTTTGCCACTATCCCTGCGGTTTGTGGAGACTGTCTTCATTGGACATCGGCGTGTCCTCCTTTAAGCACCCGTGGAGGCACTCAGGCCACCCTGAAGCCCAGCTCTCCTTGTAGGGGCAGGGTGGTGGACATGTCGGCTTGGGGCAGACATGTGGTGGGCTGCTGATCGTGTGGCTGAGTGGCGGGCATGACTGTGGGGCCAGGGCATGCCTGGTCCTGCTGTGTGTGCATGTACTCTGGGCGTGCACATACCTGCCTTGTCCTTCCCTGGATTTCCTGGTCCTGAAAATGTGGTTTCTGTCACTGACTCCATAGGGTCCCTAGGACTGAGTGAGGGGCTCCAGGGCTGCTGCTCTGGGGCCAAGGGGGAATTGAGCCCAGCGGCAGTGTCGGTGCCGTTATTTCCATACAGAAACCTGGCACGTGGAGGCACAGGGCCGGTAGTTTAGACCAGGTTCTGGTGCCCATGCTTCCTGCTTCTGCTCTTTGGGTGGCCCCGCAGTTGAGTGCAGAACAGGGGGTACAGGAGGCCGGCCTCCAGGGTCAGAGGGCCCCCAAAGAAGGGGGAGGGGACTCAGCACTATAGGGGGAGCAAATGAGTAAAACCTTAAAATAGAGCAAAACAGCTGAGCCTCAGTGAAGGCAGAATTTCAGAGGAAATGATCCTGGATTTAGATCCCAGGTTTTGGGGCCTGGAGTGAATTGTACAACCACTCCCCCCACCCCGTGAAGGATGGGTGTTTGCAGTGGAAATGCAAACAGCCTTGTGCTTGAGCCATCCAGAGCGACTGGACTCCAGCACCTGCAATCTGTCAGCTTGGCCTGTGGACGCACCATCCCTTCCCTTTGCTGCACAAATCCAGCAGCAAAGGCTTACAACCCTTCTCCGCACTGGCCCCTGGTACGGTGCCCCACTGCAGCCCTGAGCCCACGGCCTGGGCTCTGCTTGTGCTCCCCTTGGGCCCTGCCCCCCTCCCCGGACTGTGGGGACAGGGCTCTGTTGCAGCCTGAGGCCACGTGCGAGGGGTGGGGGGTGGACGGGGGTGGTGCGACCTGCTGGCCCACAAGGTGTGGAGCATGTGGGGGCACTCCCCCCACCCTCTGGGTGCTTCCCAGGCAGCACAGTTCTGCCACAGTGGGGCAAAGGGAGCAGACCCCTGAAAACACAGCTTTTCAATCAAGTGCCCAGATGCCACCCCGGCCTTTACTGTGTCTCCTCAACACTGTTCCTACTGGATGTGCTGTTGGAAGGTTCCAGTGCCTCAAACACACTGGCGGCTTTGAGGCGTGAGCAGAAGGCTGGATGTGGGGTGCGGCTGCTGCTCACTGACCCTCCCCTTCCTGTCTCCTTAGCTCAATGATGCCGCCAAGCAGCTGATGGAGATGGACAAGCTGGGCCTGGCCTCGGCGTCCGGCTGCCTTGCCTCCCTACCCTCTGACGCTGGCGCAGTGGCCAGCGTGGCCCCAGGTCCCACTTCTGGCAGCACAGGGGCGGTCAGCGCCTTCCAGCGGCGTGTGGACAGCAAGAAGAACGCCAAGAAGCGGCACTCCTTCACCGCGCTCAGCGTGACGCATAAGTCCACCCAGGCCAGCGGCCACAGGCGCTCCATGGAGATCAGCGCCCCTGTGCTTATTAGCTCCAGCGACCCCCGGGCCGCGGCCAGGATCGGGGACCTGGCGCACCTGTCCCGAAGTGCTCCCGCCCAGGTAATACCACGGCCTGCGACCTGGGGGCCCTCCTCAGCGCCACTCACTTCCCTCCCCCAGTCCCTGGGCGGGCATGAGAAGGCCAAGCACTTGTGCCTTTTGGGGTCCCAGCCTCAGGGCCCCCAAGCCCCGGTGGAGGTGAGTCTCCATCTCAACCACAGCACTTACACAACCCTGGTGGACATGGGGGGCTTCTCAGGGGCCCGAGACAGCCTCTGAAGGTGCGGTCCCAGCCCCCAGAGCCCTGTGACTCAGGAGAAAACCTGGATTAGCACTCCTATGTCTTCAGCATCTCGTGAGCCTGGCCAGTGTGCTCCCTGTGACCACGTGTCTATGGAGCCCGTCTGTGTGGGACGAGGCACCAGCTCCATCTACCAGGAAAGTCAAGGGGATTTGCCTTGCTCGCAGCCAACTAGCAGAGCCAGACTGGTTCTACTCGCTGCCCGAAAGGCCAGTCCATCAAGAGACGAGGTGTTGTGGTCAGCAGCAGAGATGACCAGGTCCTGGGACCCATGTTCCTACAGTTACACTGGAAGGAAACATTGTGACCAGGCTCGGGCCCTCAGTGAGGCCGTCAAGAGGGGTGAGAGGTCAAGGGAAGCAGCTGCGCCCATCTCTGGACCCTTGTCACTCAGTTGTTGGGAGGAGGAAGGGGTGTGAGTGTTGTGAGTTAAGGGCAGGCCAGCAGAGCTGCAGGGCTTCCCTGGTGGCTCAGCAGTGAAGAATCACCTGCCAGTGCAGGAGACACGGGAGGCAGGGGTTCCATCCCTGGGTCAGAAGATCCTTTGGAGAAGGAAATGGCAACCCACTCCAGTATGCTTGCCTGGGAGATCCCATGGGCAGAGAAGCCTGGTGGGCTACAGTCCATTGGTCGCAAAGAGTTGGACACGACTGCACACTCACTCACAGGGCTGTGAATGGCAGGTGCCAGTGTGGGCGGTGCTTGTGGGCGGTGGTCATGGGTGGTGGATGCTTCTTGGTGGAAAAAGGCCCCACCGGTTGATTCAAAGTCAAACCTTATGATGCCCCCGACAGGTCAGAAGTAGTCCTGTAACCGTCTCCCTCATCCCAGCTCATTAGCACTTTGCGATTTTCAGTCCCGGACTGAATGGTCCCCAAGCTCCCCACTTTAGGGGCCCCTCCTCTTCAGAGTGACCCGGGGAGGCCTGTCCAGCTCTTGGCCTGGCTGTGACCCAGTGGGACAAAGGCAGAGGCTGGAGGTGTGTCCTCTCATCCCGGACGGCACTCAAGAGGGTCGGGCAGCTTTTTGGCCTTTTGGAGCCTGTGACCTCATGGTCTCTATTGCAGCTTCCCTCCACCCTGGGAGCCAGGAGAATCTTGTTGATCAAGGCAGCGGCCAGACGTGACCTCGGGTGGGTCTGTGGACCTGAGCAGACCTGGAGCTAGAGGCTCAGGGCTGCATTGAGAGTCTGTGGACCTGTCAGGGCCCCTTCAGGTGTGAGTGGAGCCACTTGAGGTGAGCTTGGCCTCCCATCGGCCTCTGTCTTGAGTGGCCAGCCAGCTTTCCCGGGGCTGATGAGGAGAACTGTGGATGTTCTGTTGGCACAGTGCGATGGCTCCTTCTCCCAGGACAGACCGTTTCCTTCAGATCCTCGGCCTCTGACCTCCAAGCTGCTGGTGCGAGCTTGGCCAGCCCAGGCCAGGCTCTGCCAGGCCAGGCTCACCACCCAGACCCTGCCTCCAGTCACCCTGGCCCTGCATGCTGTTGGCTGTTCTTCTTGGAACTAAGCAAAGAGTTTGGCTGTAAATGTTTTATTCTGAAGTTTTATTTGGGAAGCATGTTCCTGAGAATCTTTTACACCCTGCGTTCCAGGGTGGTAGCAAGTGATGAGTGAACTTGCCCATTTCACAGCTCCTCATGGTGATGACAGTGTTATTTGGACACATGCTAAAATGAAAGTGAGATGTTTCTTCTTAGGGTCTTGGTCTGCGTCAGGGAAGTGACTTAGAGCCCCTTTTAGCAGGGGTGCAGTCCACCAACCCACAGACCGTTTTCCCTTTTATTAATCCCAGTGGGAAATTAAAGGCCTGGTTCCTGGCTACTGCTCAGAGGCCCCGGGAAACAACACGGGGCAGTCTCCAGCGTCTGGTAACAACCTGACGGTTTAGAATCACGTCTTCTGGGACTCGTCATAGACTCCTGTCAAATGTTCCGTGGGCCACTGCTGAACGAGGCTAGATGGGTCACTGGGGTCGGCCGCCCCGTGGTTAGTGGCCCCGAGAACTGTGCCACCCACGTCCTCACCCTGCTGGCGGCTCCCCTGGTCGGGTTGTCCTTGCCTCCGGGGCTGAGTCCCAGCGCGCGGCCATTAGGAGTCTACTGAATAGATGCCACTTCATCTCAGCGGACACCTTCCCGCGATGGGTCAGGCAGGCACAGGGCGGGGCCGGGAAGGAGGGGCCGGGACAATGACTGAGCGACTGAACAAGTGCTGCAAAGCCTGCTCCCTTCTATGAATTGCCCTTGACTGATGGATAACCCGGGGCCGGGACGGGGCGGGGGGAGGGGCGAGCCGTCACCAGGAGGCAGGAAGAGCCTGTCCCAGGGCTGCGTTCCCAATCATTTTTATCTGAAAGCGCTGGAGCCGTCTCCTTCCTTCCTTCATCCCTGCCCAGTTCCCTCACCCCTACCAAGCCCTCGCTAATTCCTTCAGGCCCAGAATCATTTAAAAGTAAGTCATTAAAAATCAAAGCGGAATCAGCCTCCAGCCCTCAGCTGGAAGACAGGCCCCAGACCTTGCGGGAAGCCTGTTCGACGTGGTCACAGCGGAGGGCATGGGGCTGCACTGAACGACCTCAAACAGACTTTCTGCACCTCTGGTAGGCGCCTTCCTCCAGGGTGGGCTGCCATGACTTGGAGCCACATGGGACGCCTCGTGCTTCCGAGCCCTTGATCCCGATGCCTTGTCTCCCCTGGGGTTAGCAGAGGCCTGCCTGCCAGGCTTCTGGAGGGGCCCCCATGTCTGCGGCCGCGTCCTCCTTCGCTGGGCCCGTGTCCTCGGCTGCCAGCGGGGGACAGCCCTCCACCCTCTCTCAACAGGAACAGAGGTGAAGACAGAACTCGGAGGGGGATGGGTGGGATCCGGCCCCACCAGGAAGTCCCAGCGTGGCTCCCACCACTGGGTACGATGTCAAAGGGGCCTTCATCTGGGCTCCACGCTGCAGGAAACTATTGGAGCCCCGGCTCAGTGGGCTTGGTCTTAGATGTTCTTCATGTCGACCTTGACATTGGGAAAAGGGGTTATCACAGGTGTGGCTTCTCATGCCTGCATCCCTGCTCTAATGGAGGGTCTGCCCTGAAATCCCACTTATTTGCTTTGTGGCCTCTGTCATGTCAGATCTCAGCTGAGGGCCAGGTGTCCAGGGAGGGCCCAGCACTGCTCCCCTGGGGCTCCTGTAGGGCATCCTCGTGGCCCCAGTGCTGGGTGAGCGCCCCGTCCTCCTGCCCCCAGCATCCGTCATCCAGAGTGACGGGCTGGGTCCGTAGGTTCAGCTCTGCGGCTCAGAGCTCAGCCACGCCAGCCTATCCCTCCTCTGGCCGGGAGGCAGAGGCAGCCTCATCTGAGCTTGTCTCCTCCGGGTGAATCATGGCCAGAGTGGCTGGAGAGCAGTGAGGTGCAGAGAGACACCAGGGAAGGCTACCTCCAGGCACAGCGGGATTCAGCAGCCACACCAGGTTATGGGGCTTCATGTGTGGTGCCTGTTGGCTGGTAGCTGTTTCAGGAGGCTTTATTTGCACAGGAGCCCTCTGATAAGAGCTGGGTTGTGAGTCTAGCTCCATCCAAGCCAGTCACCTTGTGGGTCCTGCCACCCGGCTGAAGCCCTCCAACAGCACTGTGGTCACAGTGCCCGGATTCGGTCATCAGAGTGGCTGATCCACAGGGTCACCCCACAGTCCTCTCCTGGCCCCTCCTGGCCCCCCACAAAGGTGACATATATGGAATCCAGGAAACATGCGGTCACATCAACCAAAGCTTGATCTTGAATCAGACCTCAGATAATTGAACTGTCATTCTGTGTATCTCACTTTGAAAATGTATTGGAACCACTCACTGTTGACAGTAAAATGATGGAAAACCTGAACAATTTTAAAAAAATTAACTCAAATCCCAACTCTGTAAGTACCAGCTTTATCATCTGTATGTAAATTTCCCAATGGAAGCACACTTCCTTTTATAGAAACAAGCTAAACCTGGGTGTCCACCTCCCTCACCCAGTCCTGTTCGATGTGCTCCATGCAGTTCTCCATACCCACCTGTGCAGGTCCTTCTCCCTGTTGCGTGGGGCATGCTGGTCGGCAGACAAAGTGTTGGGTCAGCCTCTGTCCTTTCTCTACCCTTTCTCGAGGCTGAATCTTCACCTCTGACCTCCAGTGGCTGCAGAAAGAATGAGGCCAGCATTTCCTTGCTCACAGCTGTGAATTACTGTGTCTAATATTCCAACTCACCTGGAAGGTGAGGTCCCTCGATGGCCATTTCCTCATCCCTCCAGGCCCTGTCTTCACTATTTGATTCTTGGGAACCAGGCTTCACAGTCTTGTCTGGTGCCCAGTTGTTCTGAGTGGGGTGCACCCCATCCCTGTCACTGAGCTGTGGTCGGGGCAGAAGTCAGGGCCCAAGGGTGTAATGCACCTAGGTTTGCAGGCTGAGAGCTCAGGGCTCAGGGACCCTGTGCTGATCCTGAACGCACATGTCCAGGCTGTGCCCCCACTCCCCAGCCCCTGGTTGGCTTCCCGCTGCGTCATCCTCAGGATCCAAGCACATCAGACTCACTGTGTCCAGTGCCCAGTCCATGACCTCCCCCGGGTCTCATACTCCCCACTCCCTTCACTCAGCATCTCTGTCCTACCAGTCACTAAGGACGGAGACTCAATGCTCCTTGTCTTGCACACCATTCCTCGCCTGAATCCACTTTTCCTGTTGGTAGAGGGGGAATGATGGCCCCAAATATGTCCACTCCTGATTCCCAGAACCCGTGAGTGTGGCCTTCCTTGGCAGGAGACCAGGAAATGGAGCTCGGAGATAGTCCTGGGCCCTCTGGGCCATTGTAACTGCAGGGTCCTTCTGAGAGGAGTCCAGAGGGTCAGAGTCAGCAAGAAGCAAGAAGACTGACCCCCAGGGTCCTCCCCTGTTGAGTTTCCTGGAGCTGCTATAGCAAACCGGGTGGACTGGCTCCTTCTGCCTCAGCCAGCCCTTCAGCAGCTCACCATGTGCCTGGCACTCGGCAGGAATCACCTGTGAGGGGCCGTCCCTCCGTCATCTTGCGGAGTGGACCCTTGAGGTTTTGCCGTGTTTCACATCCTGTCCGCTCTAGCCGCTATGTTCACTGTGGAAGGGCTGGTTTTCCTTAGCGCTCAGGGATGTGGTTTTAAATAAGCTTACATCTTGAAGCATGAAAAGTTTTGTCTGGCTTTTCTTGGACAAACATAGGGGTAACTAATTCAAGTCCTGAAAATAAAGGCAGCCCTCTCCCCCACCCCCCATCTCCTTGCACGTTGAATGCTACATCCGCTGTCCAACCAGACGTGGGCAGGCGTGGTTTCCTGAGCTGCTGTGGGAGGGACAGGGTTCACTGGCTGCCAGGCTTCCCTGGGAGCCTGCAGTCCGCTCACTGTGTCCTCTTGTCTGTTTCCAGGACTCCTCGGCCGGATCCACCCCAGCAACTGAACAGCAGAGCATTGCTCCCAGAGTCCAGCTGCCTCTCAATGTGTGAGCTACCACTTATGTGTTGGGGCCCCAGCTTTCAGTACCTACCCCCACCCTACTAGCGTGTCCATGTGGGGTTTTCTAGTTGTCACCCACTTGGTTCTGAGCTCTCAGGACTGCTGATGGGGCAGCCTGGAGAGCAGATTGGCAGGTTCATCAGCGTCTGTGCTTCTCCAACATTCGGTGAGAGCAGGAGGGTGGTCCAGACATTTGATGACACCCACTGATCACTCAGGAAAGGGCCCCAGAGGTCCCTGAGGAGGTGGGCATGGGCCCCATGGGGCAGAGGATGATCGGAGAAGCGGGTGCCACCAATGGCCCAGATGCAGCCTCCGGCTGTCCCACTCCCCAAAACGAGCTGCTCGTCGTCACCAAATCGAGCCAGATGAACGCTGCTGGGAAGTGAAATGTCTGTCTGTTAGGAGAATCTGCTCTTGTTAAATGACAGCTTCTAAAAGATGTGCCATTTAACATCACCGTTCAAGAGCGTTCTGAAGAGCACCTTGCCGGCTGCTGTCAAGTAACTGCTGTTCAGCTACTTGAATAAACATTTAAGGTGGAGAATGTGAATCCGGCAAACAGTGTGGCAGGGTGGAAAGCTCCCAGGGTCCAGAATTGCCAGAGTGTCAGCCTGTGTCGCTGCGGAACACTGAGGGTCTCGAGCACGCGAGGCTTTCACAGTGCAGCCTGCCTGTCTTAGGTAGGATTCCCAGCGGGCGACTGCGTCTGTCCGCTCTGCAGGCTCGGCTTCTCTGCAGAGTCCAGTCCCGACTCGCGCCCTCTTCTGGTGGCAGATGGGAATCCCCGAACGCCTCCTTTATCTGCTCGCTCTGTGGGAACTGGGTTCTTGCCACAACCGACCCAACCAAGGGCTTGGGGACCCGCCCCCTTTACACAGCTTCCTGAGGGGACGCAGGTTAGTAGGTGCTGTCTAGAGTCTTCAGGAAGAGGTTCAGGACAACATTGGACAGGAGGCGCTCCCTACCAGCCAGGTCTCTGCTTCAGCTTGGGGACGGGGCACCAGGGCAGGCCGGGCAGTCGTCTCGCTCTTGAAAACTGGGTGCCAGATCCTTTTCTGAAGAAGCAGCCTGTTCTGTGGGAGACAGTGGGGCTCCTGTTGCTTCCTGAGTGCGAGGCGGGACAGGAGAGCTCTTCAAGGACAAGACCAGGGGTTTCGTCTTGGCATCCCTAACAAGGTGCCTGGCATGCAGACTCTCAGGAGCTGTTCCCGGTTCAGAGACAGCCAGTCTTCCCCGCTGGATGCTGTGGGTCCTGGTGGCAGCCCATCCCCTGCTCTCGTGCCCCAGTCAGCCACCCAAGGAGGCGCTATGCCTCGGACCCCAGAAGGTTACCAGGTCCCGGAGTATCAACCCAGAGAGCCATCAGAACATTCTGGAGGCCTCAGCCACCTAAGGACCCTCCGTATCACAGGGAGCTTAAGTTTGGGGCAGAGTGTGTAGGGACTTATTTCTCCCCCAGATCCCCGCCCCCGTGCCCTGGGGCTTGAGGGGTCAGTGTGGTCCCCAAGCCCTTGCCCACTCCCTCTGCCTCACCCCAGATCATGGCTGTTTGGGTGGAGATCTTTTTTTAGCTGACAGAAGGGAGTCCGGTCCATCTTTCAAAGGATAATGAGCATTTTGGCAGGAATGTGTCTGCTGGTCATGGTGGTCGTCACCTGGATGGTGGCCAGCGTGAGTTTAACCGGCTTCTGCACCTTAATGTGTGTATTCTGTAGCTCTATCTTTTGAAATACAGCTTTCTTCTTTTCTCAGGGTTTCTTTGGATCTTTGACGTCTTTTGTGATTTCATACAAATTTTAGAATTATTTGTTTTAGTTCTATGAAAATGCCATTGAAATTTTCATAGGGATTGCATTGAACCTATAGACTGTCTTGGGTGGTATGAACATTTTAACAATATTTACTGTTCTAATCCTTGAGCACAAAATATCTTTCCATTTATTGTGTCTTCAGTTTCTTTGATCAATGTCTTATAGTCTTCATTGTTTTCACCTCCTTGGTTAAATTTATTCCTAGATATTTTATTGTTTTTAATGCAGTTATGAATGGGATTGTATTCTTCATTTTTCTTTTGGATAGTTTGTTGCTAGATTTCTATATGTTAATATCATATGCTGCAACTTTATTAAATTCATTGAAGATTTCTTATCGTTTTTTTGTGGCATCTTCTGGACTTTCTATGTATAGTATCATGTCATCTGCAAACAGTGACAGTTTAACTTCTTTTCCCGCATGGGTATCTCTTTCTTTTTCTTGTCTGATTGCTATGATGAAGACTTCCAGTATCACGTTGAAAAAAAAGTGGCAAGAGTGGGCATCCCTGTGTTGTTCCTGATCTTAGAGGAAATGCTTTTAGCTTCTCACTGTTGAGTATTATGTCTTGTTTGTGGTGTTTTTCAGTCACTAAGTCATTTCTGACTTTGCAACCCGATGGACTGCCACACACCAGGCTCCCCTGTCCTCCACTCTCTCCTGAAGTTTGCTCAAACTCATGTCCTTTGAACTGGTGGTGGTATCTAACCATCTCATCCTCTGCTGTCCCCTTCTCCTTTTGCCTTCAGTCTTTCCCAGCATCAAGGTCTTTTCTGTTGAGTCGACTCTTCTCATCAGGTGGCCACAATATTGGAGCCTCAGCATTGGTCCTTCCAATGAATATATAGGGTTGATTTCCTTTAGAATTGCCTGGTTTGATTTCCTTGCAGTTCCAGGGACTGTCAAGAGTCTTCTCCAGTACTATGATTTGAAAGCATCAGTTCTTCGGCGATAACCTTCTTTATGGTCCAACTCTCACATCTGTACGTGACTGTGCTTTGACTATATGGACCTTTGTCAGCAAATGATGTCTCTGCTTTTTAATATGCTGTCTAGGTTTGTCATAACTTTCCTTCCAAGGAGCAAACATCTTTTAGTTTCATGGCTACAGTCACCATCTGCAGTGATTTTGGAGCCCAAGAAAAGAAAATCTGTAACTATTTCCACTTTTCCCCCTTCTATTTGCCATGAAATGATGGGACCAGATACCATGATCTTAGATTTTTTTTTCCATTTATTTTTATTAGTTGGAGGCTAATTACTTTACAATATTGTAGTGGTTTTTGTCATACATTGACATGAATCAGCCATGGATTTACATGTATTCCCCATCCCGATCCCCCCTCCCACCTCCCTCTCTACCCGATCCCTCTGGGTCTTCCCAGTGCACCAGGCCCGAGCACTTGTCGCATGCATCCAACCTGGGCTGGTGATCTGTTTCACCCTAGATAATATACATGTTTCAATGCTGTTCTCTCGAAACATCCCACCCTTGCCTTCTCCCACAGAGTCCAAAAGTCTCTTTTGTACATCTGAGTCTCTTTTTCTGTTTTGCATATAGGGTTATCATTACCATCTTTCTAAATTCCATATATATATGTTAGTATACTGTAATGGTCTGATCTTAGATTTTTTGAATGTTGAGTTTTAAGTCAGCTTTTTCACTTTCATCAAGAGGCTCTTTAGTTCCTCTTTGCTTTCTGCCTTTAGAGCGGTATCATCTGCCTGTCTGAGGTGGTTGATATTTCTCCTGGCAGTCTTGATTCCACCTTGTGCTTCATCCAGCCCTGCATTTCACATGATGTAGTCCTCATATAAGTTAAATAAGCAGGGTGACAATATACAGCTTTGGCATACTCCTTTCCTAATTTGGAACCAGTCTGTTGTTCCATGTCCAGTTCTGACTGTTGCTTCTTGACCTGCATACAGATTTCTCAGGAGGCAGGTCAGGTGGTCTGGTATTCCCATGTCTTGAAGAATTATTCACAGTTTGTTATGATCCACACAGTCAAAGGCTTTAGTATAGTCAATGAAGCAGATGTTTTTCTGGAATTCCCTTGCTTTCTCTACAAGCCAAGGAATGTTGGCAATTTGATCTCTGGTTCCTCTGCCTTCTCTAAAACCAGCTTGTACATCAGGAAGTTCTTGGTTCACATGCTGCTAATGCCTAGCTTGAAGGATTTTGAGCATAAACTTACTAGCATGTGAAATGAGCACACTTGAACATTCTTGAACATTGAACACTTGAACAAAGCTTGAACATTCTTTGGCATTGCCCTTTGGGATTGAAATGAAAACTTACTTTTTCCAGTCCTGTGGCTACTGCTGAGTTTTCCAAATTTGCTGATATATTGAGTGCAGCACTTTGACAGCATCATCTTTTAGGATTTGAAATAGCTCAGCTGAAATTCTGTCACCTCCACTAGCTTGTTTGTAGTAATGCTTTCTAAGGCCCACTTGACTTAACACTCCAGGATGTCTGGCTTTAAGTGAGTGACCACACCAACATGGTTATCTGGGTTGTTAAGATCTTTTTTGTATAGTTCTTCTGTGTATTCTTGCCACCTCTTTTTAATCTCTTCTGCTTCCATTAGGTCCATACCATTTCTGTCCTTTGTTGTGCCCATCCTTGCATGAAATGTTCCCTTTATACTTCCAGTTTTCTTGAAGAGATCTCTAATCTTTCCCATTTGTTTATTTTTCTTCTATTTCTTTGCACTGTTCATTTAAGAAGACCTTCTTATCTCTCTATGCTATTCTCTAGAATTCTGCATTCAGTCGAGTTAGTCAGTCAGTCAGTCAGTTCAGTCACTCAGTCGTGTCCGACTCTTTGCGACCCCATGGACTGCAGCACCCCAGGCCTCCCTGTCCATCACCAGCTCCTGGAGTTTACTCAAAACTCATGTCCATTGAGTTGGTGATGCCATCCAACCATCTCATCCTCTGTCATCCCCTTGTTCTCTCGCCTTCAATCTTTCCCAGAATCAAGATCTTTTCTAATGAGTCAGTTCTTCACATCAGGTGGCCAAAGTGTTGGAGTTTCAGCTTCAGCATCAGTCCTTCCAGTGAACATTCAGGACTGATTTCCTTTAGGATGGGCTGGTTGGATCTCCTTGCAGTCCAAGGGACTCTCAAGAGTCTTCTCCAACACCACAGTTCAAAATCATCAAT